CCCAGCTCATTTATAAATATTTCTATAACCCTAAAAGTTAAGAACTCTTAAAAACTTAAGTATATGCCATATCATACTGAAATTAATAAAATACAAAGAAAAGATTTTTTAAAAATAATAATTTCTTATGACCATCCAATATGTGATATTTTCTAAGTTTAATTATCATATTTCTATAGGTAGGTAGGTAAGTAGGCTTCTTTGACTCACAACCCAAATAAGGTTCATTTAATATATTGGAAGATTGTGGCTCTTAAGTCTTTAATATCTTTTTTTTTTTTTTTAAAGAAAGAGTGAGAGAGGGGGGAGAGAGAGAGAGAATTTTTTTTTATATTTATTTTTTAGTTCTCGGTGGACACAACATCTTTGTTGGTATGTGGTGCTGAGGATTGAACCCRGGCTGCACGCATGCCAGGCGAGCGCGCTACCGCTTGAGCCACATCCCCAGCCCAGTCTTTAATATCTTGATAGCCCCTCCATCTTTTCTTATTTCCTCACAGTTCGTTGAAGAAACTTTTTCCTGTACTGTATTTCACTGCATAATTGCAACATCCTGTTTTTTCAGTCCAAAAAAATCTTTTATAACCCTTACTTGGATAATCTGGCATGATATGATTCTATTTGACATCTGCTTAAAAGGTAAACAGTGCAGCACTGTATTCACCAGTGGCATATGGATGTACATTTGTCTTCTCCTGCACTATGAGCCATGAACCTAGAATCTTAGCAGATGCATAATCTAAGTGTATTTCCAAAAGCTGACTTGGGTGGTTTAGAGCCTTGGAATACTACCTCTATTGTCACCCAACCTAATGAAGAGCTGTAGGCTCAAGTGGAGATAGGTGCAAAAGGAGCAGGTAGGCAGACAAAGCTGCCATGCCTAAGTTGCATGATGTGGTAAGACTCAAACCTTCCCACGACGGCTAACTACAATTCTGTCTACCAGCAATACATTAATGTATGAAGCATTTCTTTCTGATTGTGGGTAAATAAAAGACTATTCTGCGGACTTCAAGCAGAAAGTGATTATGTTCACTAAACATCATGAAAACAGCTGAAGAAAGAGTTTTCAGGAGGAGAAAAGGTGTTTTTTGTTTTGTTTTTCACAAAAAGCTTCACATAATAGTTAAAATCCCCCCCCTTTTTTTTTTGTAAAATAAAGTCTGTGACTATTACATGGTGATATACAACAGTTTTCCATAGTCTGGTTTTGCTAGTTGTATCCTCAGAATTTCTTTTTTTTTATATTTATTTTTTAGTTGTAGTTGGACACAATATCTTTATTTTATTTTTATGTGGTGCTGAGGATTGAACCCAGGGCCTCTCACGTGCTAGGCAAGCGCTCTACCACTGAGCCACAACCCCAGCCCCAAGAATTTCTTTTAATGTATTTTTTAGTCTTCCTGATGTTTCCTGTAAATTGGTAGATCTGGTAGGTCTTGATCAGATTTTAGATATCTTTCTTTTTCTTTCTCTTTTCGTTCCATAGCTTTGATGAACAATAATTTTCAATTCTAAATATTGATGTATTATTTTTACTTCTGTTATTTCCTCTGTGGTGCTGGGGATCACACCCAGGACCTGGTGCCTGCTAGGCACAAAAGCACTCTGCTCCTGAGCTACATCCCCATCACTGTTGTCTTTGAACTGTGAGTTTTTTGTAAGTTACTTCTTTGAATAATTGGTTTCATTCTAATTATCTTTTATTGATTTCTTGCTAAATTAAATTGTGGTCAGATAAGTTGTACCATTTAACTTGAGACCTTTTAAGATTGTTGAGTTTGTAGAACAGTCCAATATACATTAATTTCTGTGACTTTTTTTTTGTGCCTGAAAAGAATGTGTACTCTAATGTTGGCTACTATGTAGACTATGCATTTTAACAGATCATAATTTTTAATTACATTGCTCAAATCTCTTGTATCCTTATTGGTCTCCTGATATAATTATGGATTTGTGTATTATTCCTTATTAGTTGTTCAATTTATTCCTTCTTATATTGTCAATGGATATTCTTTGTATCTTTGGGCAATTTATTCAACAAATATTTGTGAAGTGCTTCTCTGTGATAGGCATTGTTCTTGCTATAGGAATATTTCAGTAAACAAAATTTCCTGCTGTAAATTGAGAGAGACAGACAAGAACAAGATAAAGAATTACAATGTTAAAATTAACTTCTTCCAAAATTGAACCTTTTAATATTACAAAGTGACCTAATTTAGTAATTTTTTAAAGTCTCTTATGTGATATTAATATATTTTAACAGCTTTCAATGAGTTACTATTTGGTCTAATCAGATCATTTTCCTGTTTTTTAATTTGGGTATTTGTCTCATTGTTATTGAGGCATAAGCATTTTTATATCTTCTGGATACAAGTTCTTTATCAGATACATGATTTTTAGATATTTTCTCCCATTCTGTGTGTTATAAATTCACTCTTAAAATTTTTTTTAATAGTAAATGGACACAGTATCTTTATTTATTTATTTATTTTTATGCGCTGCTGAGTATCAAACCTAGTGCCTCACACATGCTAGGCAAGCATTCTACCAATAAGCTGCAATCCCAACCCTAAATTCACATTCTTGATGGTGCCCTCTGTACCACAAAATCTTTAGATTTTGATGAAGTCAAATTTATCTACTTATTTATTTTGTTTATTTTGCTTTTGACATTGTAGCTATTCAACTTTAGTGTCATCTGAAGTTATGAAAACTTAACACTTATCTTTTCGTGTAAGAGTTTTAAATTTTACATCTTTCATCCATTTGAGTTAATTTTTGCATGTAGTATTATGCAGAAGCTCACCTTCCTTTTTTTTATATGCAGGTATGCAGTTTTTCCTGCATCATTTGTTGGAAAGATTAATCTCATTGAATTATCTTAGCAACCTTGAATTTTTCTATTCTGTTTCACTTAAAGTCATGTCCATTGGACAGATTTGGAGCTCCCTGTTCTTGTGATCTTCTGTCCCTGGGCAAAATCTGAGACCTTGCTGTGGAGCTGGTGTCAGGGTCAGTAGTTTGCAGGAGTGACCATCCTGCTTTTTTAGAAAGGAACTGAGCAGGAATGAGAGCCTCTGATCTCTCAGTTTGCATCTTCTTTTATGAAACCTTCACCCTATGAGTGAGCTCAAGTGAATGTAATCAGGGTCCTCAGATTCTTATCCTCTTGCACTTGAGATAAAGCCTCTGCCCTGTGAGTGGAGCTGAGTGGAGGAAGAGAACTGTTGATCTCATGTCCAAATTTGCCAGGGATTTAATCTCCAAGACTTGAATCTGGGGAGGATTTGAGCAATATAGACAGCCTATGCCTCGTTATAAAATACCACATCCGTGATTAATGTGGAAGCCTCATTTTTCTGACCATACTCACCTGTAGTGGAGCTTCTGTCAGACTGAGCTGTGGGATGGGGAAGGAGTAGGTCATGGCTCCAGTGCCACAAACTCCTATTGTTAAAGATTCAGTATATTTTCTTAAATATTTTATCATTTGTTGTATGTCCTTAGGAAAATCTCCAAGGACTTGGGATGTTTTGTTTTTTTACATTTTTAGCAGTTATCAAGTTAAAGCAAGACTGCATAGCCCCTAATGCTTCAGAAGTAGTACCTCATAAGACCTCTCTTTCTTTTACCTTTTTTGGTACTTGGGATTGAAGCTAGGGGTGATATACCACTAACTATATCCCTAACCATTTATTGATTGATGATTGATTTTCATTTTGAAATAGTGTCTCATTAAACTGCCCAGGCTGGCCTCAATCTTTCCTTTCCCCTGCCTCAGTCCCCCAGTCACTGGGATTATAGGCGTGTACCACCATATCCACCCTGGCATGGCCATTGTAATTTTTAAAATAAATATTAAAAGAAAGAGCAGGGCAGGCAGTATCACATAGCTATAATCCCATTGATTCAGAAGGCTGAGGCAGGTGGATTGCAAGTCTGGGTCAGCCTCAGCAACTTAGCAAGGCCTGTCTCAAGAAAAAAAGTCTGTGTGTGTGTGTGTATGTGTGTGTGTGTGTGTGCGCGCGCAGTCTGAGATGTATCTTAGTGTTAAAACACCCCTGGGTTCAATCCCTAGTATGGCTAGATGGATGGATAGATAAACAGATAGATAGTGCTGAGGATGTGGCTCAGTGATAGATACCTCCTGGGTTCAATCCCCAGTCCCCCCTGCCATCATGTAAACACAAATTATAATAATGTGTGCTTAATTTATTAAAGGCCAACATTAATCAGTATCTTCACTCTTTTGGGGGGGAGAGGGGCTACTGGGGATTTAACCCAGCAGCACTTTATCAATAAGCTACATCTCCAGCCCTTTTTTATTTTTTTATTTTGAGACAGGGTCTCCCTAAGTTGCTTAGGACCTTGATAAGTTGCTGAGGCTGGCCTTGAACTTGCAATTCTCCTGCCTTAGCCTCCTGAATTGCTGGGTTTGTTGGCATGTGCCATTGAGCCAAACTCTTCACTGTCTTTCTGAATGATAATTAGGACCTTAGAACTGTTTGAAGTTGTTCTTTACCATAAACAACTTATACTTATTTCTAAATAAACGTGTGTGTGTGTGTGAGAGAGAGTGTGTATGTGTGTGTGAATATATATGTATGTGTGTGTATGTATGTGTGTGTGTGTGTGTGTGTGTATATATATATATATATATATTCATAAAAAGTATAAGTAAATGAAACAAAAATTGGCTGGTTACCTACAATTAAGCTGCCTGATTTTGGTTCCTATTTTACCATTTACGAGCCAGTAAAGCTGAACAAGTTTCTTCCCCACATCAAATCTGTTTCTTAAGCCACAAAGTTGATACTAATACCGGCCTTGTTGGGTTTTTATGACAATCAAATGAGCTAATCTATGTGAAGTGACATATACACAGTGTATACACAGTGCCTGACACATAATAAGCATATAATAAAAGATAGCTACTCCAAGGACTAAAGCCATTTATTGGCAGTAATTACAATATATTTTCTGTTCTGTCCTGGCAGTTCCTTTGTGATGAGGGTGCAAGTATCTCTGGGGACTACATTGATCGTGTGGATGAGCCCTTGTCCTGCTCTTATGTGCTAACTATTCGGACTCCTCGGCTCTGCCCCCACCCTCTCCTCCGTCCTCCACCCAGTGCTGCTCCACAGGCCATTCTCTGTAACCCCTCCCTGCAGCCTGAGGAGTACATGGCCTACCTTCAGAGGCAAGCTGGTGAGTGATTGGAAGAGGAAGTAGAGATGTAGGGAGGTGCAGGTGGAAGATAAGAATGTGTCCCTATCCTGTTGCATGTTGTTTCTTGGTAGAGTCAAAGCAGTATGATGACAAAATCACAGAGGAGCTCCAAGACCTGGACCCCCAAATATGGAGTGAGACCAAGTCTGAGGCAGTGCCTCCAAAGAAAGCAGGTAAGACCTGATTTTACTTGTTCCATGAAACTGACCTCTACTTCTTTCTTTCCTCTAATCTTACGGGTCTGTACTGACTGATTAGGCTGGGTTGAAAGATTGTCATGGGTTCTTACCTCTTGGCAATTGAGGAGGCAGCATACCCCATCCTATTTTCTCCTTTCCTTTTTCTCCTCCTTCCAGATTCCCTTCTGTTCTCTATTCCCCAGGTGCAAGCCCAACCAAGGATGACAGTAAGGAATCTGATTTTTGGAAGATGCTTCATGAACCAGAGGACCCAGCTCCAGGAGGAGAAGAGGTACAGGCAGAGGTGAGAACCATCTTCCCATGTACTTCTTTTATGAGCTTGGACCTGGGCTTTGGGATGGGGAGGTCATTATGAGGTGACCTACATATGTCCAGGGATGTAAGGATAGCCTCAGAACCATTTCCTAAAGAGCATGCTAGGCATAAACAAGCTTTTGTGATTGAATCAGCTCTTTTCTCCTAATTAGGAGCAAGACCTGAACCTTGAGGCTGCAGTGGATCCAGCTCCAGGCCCTCCTGATGGTGAGTCAACCCTCTCTTTCTCCTTTACAGCTTATGCTTGAGTGTAATGTAGGATTAACAGGACTGGGGGCGGGGGGAGCAGAGGTATAGCTAACCCCTAGGAGGGAGGTTAGACAGGCCAGCAGGAAAATTTTTTTTTTTTTTTTTTGGTGTTGGGGTTAAAACCCAAGCCCTCAAACATGCTAAACAGATGTTCTATCACTGAGCTACATCCAGTCCCAGGGAATTCACTTGTACCTGAGTTAGTACTCATTGTGGACAGCAACACTGTTTGAGGAAGATAGCAAAGCTCAGAGGCTCCACCACTTGTTGACTTTGACCTGGATCTTTAATTCATAATAGAATGCCTAGAACTGAACAGATAATGAATGGTTAATATTTGTGGRAAGGGGAGAGAGAAGGTCCAGAGAAGAAGAGCCTTTAGCCCCAGAATTTTTTCTGTAGTCCTAAAAGCCAGAGTTTGCAAAGAAAGGGACTCAGAAGTTTGTGGAAGAGCTGGAGACTTAGCACCTTGTTAGTATCCATCACCCTGTTAGAGCCCATTTTAGGACAGTACTCCTTGTAGAATGTGTTTGCCCCATCTCAATTACCAGTCACGTAGCTCTCAGACAGATACCATGCCCCTCTCTTTGGTCTCTCATTGACTCTCCTAAGGAATCAGAATTTAAAACACAAGTCCATACCTATTCTCTCATCTCAGATTTTCAGAACAACGTACAGGTCAAAGTTATTCGGAGTCCTGCAGACTTGATTCGATTGATAGAAGAGCTGAAAGGTGGAACAAAAAAGGTATGGTACCTGCTTGGTGGAGGGGTGGTCATACCTTTTGGTTGGGAGCATTTAAAGACACCCCTTTCCTGTAATCTGAACTGAATTGACAGAGCTGACTCCTGTATTTGACTCTGAATCCCCCCCATACACCCCACCACTGCCTGYCTATCCCCCATGATTTGTTACTAGAACACAAAAACTGTTTTTCTTTCTTTCCACCCAGGGAAAGCCAAATGCTGGCCAAGAGCAGCCTGGAGATGATGCTATGGAAGCCCCTCAACAGGAACCTGTAGTGAAGGGAAAGGGTGACACAGAACATCAGGGTGAGGCAGAAGAAGAGGACAATGATGAAGATGAGGATGAGGATGAGGATGAACGTCAACTACTGGGAGAATTTGAGAAGGAACTGGAAGGGATATTGCTCCCATCAGACCGAGAGCGGTTCCGTTCAGAGGTGAAGGCTGGCATGGAACGGGAGCTGGAGAATATCATCCAGGAGGCAAGTCCAGCTCTTATTCCTGAGGCTCCCACAGTTGCCAGCTCCTATGGGGCAGGATGGTCCAGCACCGAGCACAGCTCAGGTCATGGCACAGGGCACTTCAACATGATGGTTGTTTACTTAATTAAAAGGGGGTGATAGGGAAGAGACAATAGAGAAAGGGATAAGACCCAGTATTTAAATCCTGCAGAGGAAAGCAAGCCCACTGTCCTCAACTCCCCAGGCCCTTGACTCTCTGCCCTGTCTTGGGCATTTCAGACAGAAAAGGAGCTGGACCCAGATGGGCTGAAGAAGGAGTCGGAGCGTGATCGGGCAATGCTGGCTCTGACATCCACACTTAACAAACTCATCAAAAAGCTGGAGGAAAAACAGAGTCCAGAGCTGGTGAAAAAGTACAAGAAAAAGAGAGTTGTCCCCAAAAAGCCTCCACCCTCACCCCACCCTACAGGTGAGAGCTGTCAGATAAGAAGGAGCAACTGGGTTTGCTGTCTCTATCCCTCAGCTGGTGCTGTTCCTGGAGGGCACCGTGTTCTTTCCCTTCTGAGAGTGCACATTCTCTACCCGATTTCTAGAACACTTCTTACCACTGTCTTCCCTTTGCATGACCTCCTAGTCATGCTTTTGGAAAGCAGCCTTTAAGTATGTGTGTCTTGATTTCTGGTTTGCTTCTGTGCATCCAGAGCCTACCACTCTGGCTGGCACATAGATATAATCTGATTGGCCATGAGCATAAATACTGAAAACCATAATCTGTGAGGTCTGTCAACTTTAGGACTTTGCACTGGGAGAGTCCCCAGCTGTCAGGGTATGAATAGGCAAGCCCAGTGGCACATAAGCCACCAGGCTGTACAAAACTTTTTTAAGTTTTTCTTTCTTGTATCCCCTTGTGTTCATGCCACAGGGGAATTCCATAGATGTGGAGATCAGACATTCCAAATGGAACATTCTAGTTTCAGACCTTCCTCATTCTTTCTGTAAACATTGAAAGGTCTTTAAAGTTCCAGAATGTGGAGGGCCAAACTACATTTTTCCAGCCTGCTCCTTAAAACAAAACTTCTTTGTTGGTGCAGGCAGCCTGATATTTGCTTTCAGAAAACAGACATTTTCCTGTAGATAATGAGCAGAATTACTGGCTGGGATGGGAAGAAAGAATGCTATAGTGATGGCCAGGGTCGGGATGTGGGGGACCGCTTTTTTTTTTTTTTTTTTTTAAGCCCTGGCTCACTTACATGTTGACATATATAGCCACCAAAACCAATTCACGGCTTAGGAAGAGGTGACCACCCTAGCCCCTAACCCTGGAGTCACGGCTCTGCTTTGTGTCTCCCTGTGTGTCTCCCCCTCTAAGAGGAGGATCCTGAGCACAGAGTCCGGGTCCGGGTCACCAAGCTCCGTCACGGAGGCCCCAATCAGGATCTGACTGTCCTCGAGATGAAACGGGAAAACCCACAACTGAAACAAATCGAGGGGCTGGTGAAAGAACTGCTGGAGAGGGAGGGACTCACAGCTGAAGGTGGGCCCTGGAGGGCGGGCTGATTAAGAGCTGTTGGAAGGGCTTGCCGCTGAAGTGGAGGGGCTGGGTCAAGGTGGACTGGAAACTTCAGCTGGGAACCTGGGGGCAGGGGACCTGCCCTTAGGCTCCCAGCCTTCCCTCCTCATTACCCATACTGCTCCTCTACAGGGAAAATTGAGATCAAAATTGTCCGCCCTGGGGCTGAAGGGACTGAGGAGGATGCACGTTGGCTAACTGATGAGGACACGAAAAACCTCAAGGAGATTTTCTTCAATATTTTGGTGAGGCATCCTACCCAAGTCTCCAACTCCAGCCTTCCCTCTTCTAGCACATTGTGCTGCTGGGAGTATGGTTTAGAGTCACAATGGCATGTCCCAACCTTGCCCCATGCTGAGCTGTGGTCTGTAAGACTGTAAAGCAAAGCTAATGTTCTGGCTGAGTATGGGCTGCCTGCCATTCAGGAAGAGCCCCTTAGGAATCTGTGTTCCTAGTYCCTGCCCTCACCACTGCCAGTCTCGGGACCTCTCTGGATCCTGAAGCACCCAGCACTTCCCTTGGCCCCCAGACAGCATCTCCTGCTTACCCCTATCCTCCCACCAGGTGCAGGGAGCTGAAGAAGCCCACAAGGAGCGCCAGCGGCAAAAAGAACTGGAGAGCAACTATCGCCGAGTGTGGGGCTCTCAAGATGGAGAAGGCACAGGGGACCTGGATGAGTTTGACTTCTGAAACTACCACAACAAGACCCTCCAAAGAGTACAGAGTCTTCCTGAATGACCCTGCCTCCTYCTCATCTCCCACCCCTGGGGCCCTGAAGGCAAAATGGTGAAGAGGAGCTAAGCTGTAGGCATCTGAGCCCCCAGTCTAGGGTGTGGAGGGCATGGGGTGAGTTCTGCTGGAGCTACCCAGCTGCCTCATCGGGCTTGGGATTTTGCTCTCCCAGGCTCCCTCATATGCTCTTTCTTTCCTCCTCAGCTTTCCTTGCTATTATCCCCCAACTTGTTGGTTTTTTTCTTCCTCCTACCTAGAGATTCAGTGAGATCTTTTGAACTAGCAGGGCGTTTAGCAGGCTCCAAGAAAGTGGCTGCCTACCCCTGCCCTGTTGCTGTGTGGAGTTGTTTTACCCCCCATCTCTTGGATTGACTTGGGATTTCCTTCTCCCTTTCCCTGTTCCCACTGTCCTCTACAATCTGCACTTCTGAGTCGAGGATCCTTTACCTCTGTTGCTGAGGAAATGGGAGACCATTGCACATACCTCAGACACAGTCCCAGCAAAGAGGGTGGGGTGCAGACCCACCCGCCGTGTTCTTCAACAATCAGGTTTCTAAATAAAGAACTGGACCATCAGTCCATCAGCCTTTTTGGGGGATGGGAGGGGGTAGGTGGAGGGTGCTCTCATAGGGAGGAGGCTTGCTGTTCTTTTCAGTCCAGAGGGCACACATCCCAGGTGGTATCAGTGAGCCTGGTGTACACACAGACCACAACAAAGCCACCTGGCAGGGAGCTAAAGACCTATAATACTGTTCTCTCTATATATCTTCATCTGTTGTTTCTTCCCTTTTTATTTTTTTAAACTTCCACCTTGCTGGGCCTTTAATCCAGAGCCTTGCATATGCTACCACTAAGCTGTACCTCCAGCTCACTTCCCTCCCTTCCTTAACTTCTCCCCTTTGACATCATGTACCATATGCACACTGTGGAGTTGTACCCCTGACCCCAGACCTGGACATCTTCCTTCTGCTGAGCTCTTTCCCTGCAGCGTATTCCAGGTTCTATTTGCCAGCCACATCCCATACTCCTCATGGCTATGGGGGGGGGGGAGATAGTGAAATGACTTGTTCAAGGCCCATTTTTAGGAGATAGAAGAGTGAAGACTTGAACTTAATGCTCTGCCTATAAGCCATTTCCAAGGCAGATTTTTTAAAATATCATTTTTTATTTTTGTTTATTTTTTATGTGGTGATGGGGATTGAACTCAGGGCCTCATGCTTGCTAGGCAGGTGCTTTACCACTGAGCTATCTCCCCAGCCCCCAAGGCAGTTTTTTGTTGTTGAAACCAAAAAACATCAACCTTTTTTTCCAGAGAGGGCTGACACTCATGCATGCMTGCTTCTTAATATGCCAAGGGTAGGTGGGCCTGCCGAGTGTAGGTGTGGATCCCCCCACATTCCTTCTTCCTTCTCCAAGGGCAGAGGCTCTCCTCTTGCTCCACAGCTCAGAGGTGTACAACCTTCCTGCTGAAGTCTCCACTGGCTTACAAGATAAGGAAAGGGACAGAAGACACAGAATGTCTTCAAAAGTGAGAGGTGAGGGATTCAGTCGTTGAAGGAAGTTTCATAAGATTTAGCTTCTTCTTACTAAATATGGACTAGTGGTTATTGTGTGTGTTATGCTTAAATTGTTTTGTTTTTAAATGTAAGTGAGTAGATTTATAAATCCTGCTTCCTGAGATTCATGTGTGTATCTTGAGAGGGGTGCTTCAGCTGGGCAAGAATTTAGAAACTGTCCTTTGGAGCCAGGCCTAATGGCTTACACCTTTAATTCCAGTTACTTAGGATGCTGAGGCAGAAGGATCATGAGTTCAAGGCCAGCCTCTGCAATGTAGCTAGAACTGTCTCAACAAAAAAGAAACTGCCTTGGGAATGGCTTATAGACAGAGCACTAAGTTCAAATCATTGCTCTTCTATCTCCGTAAGTGGGCCTTGAACACGTCATTTCACCATTTTTTTATACCGAGGATTGAACCAAGAGGTGTTTTACCACTGAGCCACACTTCCAGCCCTTTTTATTTTATATTTAATTTTTTTTTACTTGTAGATGGACACAATACCTTTATTTTGTTTATTTTTATGTGGTGTTGAGGATCGAACCCAGTGCCTCACATATGCTAGGCAAGCACTCTACCATTGAGCTACAAGCCTCCTTTTTATTTTTTATTTTGAGACAGGGTCTCACTAAGTTGTTTAGGGTCTTGCTAAACTGCTGAGGGAGGTTGGCTTTGAACTTGCCATTCTGCTGTCTTGGCCTCCTGAGCCACTGGGATTAGACGTGTGCATCATTTCATTTTTCAAATTGTGTTTCCTCATTGGTACACTGTGGCTAGAAGTATCACTGGCCCTACTGTTCRTGCCCTTCACATAGGATCTGTCCATAGTAAGTACACACCAACTTATAAAACAGTTTCCAAGTTCACAAGATACTAGAGTATTTGTAGATGAGAGTCTTAAAAGGAATTCCAAAAGTTGATCAAATGCTACAATAGAATCTTTAAGAATGGGAAGGGTGAGATGCTGGGACAGGAGGTTATCTTTGGTTTGATGGGGATGGAGTCCCAGCAAGATCAGAAAACTGAATTCTGGAAACATCACTGTATTTAATCATTTTGTACTTTCAATAATAAATTCCTTTTTACTTCCTTTGGCTTTTGGCAAAACTCCCATGGAAGTCAGTCTGCCCCAGCTGTGCTAAGGCAAACAGAAGGAAGGGAACAGGGTGTGTGTCAGATGGCTTCTTGGAGAGATGAGGAGTGGTTGAGGGATGGCAACAGGAACCCAAGCAAGGAAACTCATGGTGAGCTGTGAGGCACTCAGACATAAAGGGGCAGCAGCAACTCTCCTTCACCCACCTAGGGAGTCCCCTTCTAGAGTCTTATTATGCCATAACCTAGAAGGTTTAATTTTTTTGTCACCTCCATCTCTCTCTCCTCAAGACCAAAAATGCAGGACATTTAAAAAAAAAAAGAGGGTCAGGTGGATTATTTGTTGGTGGGATCTGCTGTGCAGTTTGCCAACACCTCAACCATTTTTGCTGTCTAGAAATAAAAGGACCTTCCCTTTGGCCTGTGGTTCCCTTTGCAGGTAGCTTTATTCTCTTGGGGTTCTTGTTTCCTCCCTGTACCCAAACTCAGAGTTTTTTAGGAAGTGAGTGAGCTTTAGCCATGATGAAGGAAGGTGAAGATGAAGTAAGGGAGTTCGGGTCTGAGCTAAGGGACAAAAAATGACCAGGTCCTCTAGGAGGACCATCTTCCTCTCACTTCACCCAGACCACATACCTGTACCTGTCCCTGCATCACTGAATCTACCTCTCTGTGGTCCTTGGTAATCATCCATGCTACACAGCAGAAGGCAGCATGTGAGTTGGACCTGGGCCTGGCATTGCAATTATACTTCATCAGCTTGCTGGAACATCAATAGCTGAGTGTCTGAGGGCTGAGAGGCACCAAAAGTTGGAACTACCCTACTCAAAGATACTGGTGCCACCAACATGTGATGGAATGCAACATGTGGCATCTGTGTCCAACCTGCACCAGTTAGTGGCCTACAGCACCACCCTGCCCAGCCTCTCCATCAGGGCAGATGCTTTCAGCTATATACAGGAAATGGTGGAACTGGCTACTGAGGCAGTACAGCAGCTCCAGCAACTGTGATAAGGGTGGCAGGGGGCAAATGCATCAGCTAGTATGGAGTTTATGGACATCAGGGACCCACAACTGGCTGGGAAATCATTCCCAGATCTTTCACCCCTGCTCTCCCTAGCACCCCCTGACTAGGGCCAGGAGAAGGATCCCTATTATTAGCTCTACTCTAGTACTTGGTACTCAAGGTGAGTAGGCTGGCATAGGGCAGCTCTCCAGGGCTAGAGCATTTACCAGATGTCTTCTGAAGGAATTGCTCAGATCACAAATAAATAGATGCCTCCAAGGTCAACTGCCTCAGGTCCCCTAGCTAGGGAATGGAGGGTCACATTTCAAAATCAGATCTGTTCCTACTCTTAACCAGGGTGACCATGTCATTTCACCACACACCCACCACCTACCACAGCCTTATCTGTTCCTCCAAGCACCACACTCCAACTCTTCCAGAACTTCTAAATGTGACTTCTTTGCTTCCAAGTTCCCCACAGTTCCTCCCACCTGCCCATCTCTTTCCACTGCATGAACCCAGGACTGTTGTTCAAGAGGGAACCACCTCCATGCCCATTGGTACTTCCCTGCTTCAGGTCGGTGGGAGGGACTTCTGYCTGGCCCTTTCCCACCTCCAGTTCTGGGCCTTCACCAAGGCTGTACCCTGACTTGTCTCTTCAAGAACAGACCAGCAGCTCACCCCCTAGACAAAATCACTTCCTCTTTAATTGCTGTTGAAGTTTCACACCACCTGCCTCAGAGGAGATGAGGGGGGCATCCCCTGCTCCCCCACCCCCGCTCCCTCCCCAATTACCTGGTCTTTTGCAAATTATTTTAGCCAGAAAAAAAAAAAAAAAAGACCGGAAACCACTGACACAGACAGCCCAAGGACTGGGTTGATTGAGGGAGGCAGGGCTCAGACAGGTTAAGTTTACCCCACCACTCCCATTCTGGGGATGGGGCAGGGGGCCTGGAAACGCAACCACTGCACATCCTCTCAGCCCTGGCTGGGAGAGAGCACTGGGGTGAGGGACAGGTCTGGAGCTGCTCCAGTGGAAGGGAGGGGCTGGACAGAAAGAAATAATGAGGGAGGGGTCCCATTTCAGGGGTGCCCCCTACCCCAGATCACCACGGGCGCTGCACAGTCACAGGTACGCAGTCACAGGCACAGACACAACCCGAGAGCACCCCCACCCCACCCCACCCCCTGCCCACCCTTGGCTCCCCCTACCCCAGAACGCCCTCCCCACGCCCATGCCCACCCCACTCCCATGTTGGGGAACAAAGCAATAAATTACAAAGCCCCTCCCCAGCCCCCTTAGCCTGCTCCTGCTTCATCCTTTCTCCCTCCCAAGATATTAGGGGAAGGACCCAGGATCTTGGCTCCCCCTGGCCTTTTACTTTTACCCATGGGTAGGTGTAGGGGAACATCCTGATTTCCACTCCTCATGGTCCCTTTCACGGAAAGGGTTGGGGACCCCTCCACCTCCACAGGCAGCAGGGGTCCTGCCCCTCGCTGCCCTTCCCCCATTTACTGGGCAGTGAGATCAGCATTGAAGGGTCGGGGGCCCCGGTATCAGCCCCAAGTCCCAGGGCTAGCGCTCCACGTACTAACCCCTCCCTCTGGCGTGGCGTCGCCCCAGGAGCCAGCCTGGGTTTGGGCTCCTGCCGTGGATTGTTGAATGCAGGCAGGACTGGGTCTTTTTCCCGCCCCTAGAGGGCGCGGGCGGGCATGTCCAAGCGCCCTGGAACCGGTACCGTGGCAGGGACGTCCCTTTCTGCAAACACCGAGCGGGTAGACCCAGAGCAATCCGAGGGTGGAAACAGTGGAGAGGGAGCGTGTTGAGCTGGGGTGTCTCCATGCCTCATTGGGGAGAGGGAGGTGAGTTTGTGTCTTCTGGGAGGCGTGGGGGCTGTGCCCTCGTGAGGGTAGGAAGTGCTCCCGTGGGGCGGGGTGCGGATTGGAGAGGTGAGTGAGTGCATCTGTCCAGCTGTCCACCCGGTGTGTTCGTGCCCGGCCCGCATGGGGGTAGGGGTGTCTCTCCCGCTGTTGGGCAACTATACCAGCGCGAGCGGGGCGTCCGCACGGCCCACGCTGGCTGCGCTGCTCCGGCGGCGGGGGCTGGGCGTGGCAGTAATGCTGGGCGTGGTGGCTGCGCTGGGCGTGGTGGCTGTGCTGCCTCCCTCGCCTGGACACCCGTGCTGCAGAAGGATGTCGGCACACAGCTGGCTTCCCGCCTGACGGGCGTAGAACAGCGCCGTGCGGCCCTGCGCGTCGCGGGCCGCCACGTCCGCGCCATACTAGAGAGAGAAATCGCCGCGTGACCGCGCGTCCCCGAGGGGCCCACACCCGCACACCGACACCCCAAGAGTTCCAAGCCCACCTCCAGGGTTTCTCTGGGAACATCGGGCTCTACCGCGCTAGTCGTGTTCTGAGATGGGAGTCCTCAAAGATTCCTTTACCTACTCGTCCCCCATTCACGTACCCACAGTAGCAGTTGCGTGATGACGACGTGGGCGAGCTCGGCCGCCAGGTGAAGTGGGGAACGGAGCTGTGGGTCCTCTACGCTGGTGTCGAGCGGCCCGTGTCGCGCATGGGCCAGAAGCAGGAGAACATTGGCCACGTCCTGGGCCTGCACAGCGGCCCACAGCTGGCGGCCCAGCGGCTCCTCGGTCGTGCCCAGCGGCGCCAAGAACAGCAGCTGCTCATATTTGGCGCGAATCCATGATTCACGCTCCTCCCTACAGAACCATGGAGCAATGGAAAGGTTCTAGAAACCTCTAACTAGGACCTCTGTCCTCTACTCAGGGAATCCTTTCGGGCCCCAGCAACTGCCTGTCCCCGCCGCCTCTGTTCCTTCACACCTACCGCGAAGAGTCCCGTGTGGGTTTGGCGCGGCCCCTAGTGTCGCTTTCCCACACGCTGTTGGCCGTGTCGTTGCCAATAGCCGTCAGCACCAGGGTCAGCTCCCGCGGCCAGTCATCCAAGTCGAGCGAACGTACGCGAGACAGGTGTGTGCCCAGGTTCCGGTGGATACCAGAACACTCGATACAGATGAGTGCGCCCAGGTTCAAGCTGGCCCACGTGGGGTCTGGGGACGGAGTGCGGGGGTCGGTTTCCGGTTTTACCGACTACACCTACAGCGAACCATACTCCCTAGCCAGAGACACCACCTCCAAGGACCCTCTGCTGCCCCTTTGCACTCACTGGGGGCCCCGCAGTCGACGCAGATAGAGTTTCCTTTGGCGTTCCGGATCGCCTGGATGGCCACGGCTTCACTTTGGCTGTCAGTGCGCAGCTGCAGAGAGGGCTAGGATTACTATTGACTCTTAAAGGAACTCCCTTCTCCTCCCTCTCTCTTCTCATCCCTCTCTCCTCTCATCCCCTCAACCATTACCTTGACCTTGCTGCTCTCACAGCACTGCAGACTGGCTAAAATCTGACTCTCGATGGCCTGGACCCAGGAGTCCCTCTCCTCAAAGCTGGCTGCCTCAAAGTGCCACGTCTGACCAGTGCTGGATACGATCAGGAACTCAAAGTTTTCCTCTGGGTGGGGGATGGGATGGTGGCATAAGGGACAGAGTTCAAGCAGGGGCTGCCTTCCCCAGACCCTTCCTCCCTGATGTCCATCCCGAGCCCCAGGGAGTGGGGCAGTGGGGGAAGGGGAAGCAGAGGGTCGGGGAGAGCAGGAAGCCCGAGCACATGCAGGGAGAGGCAGGGGTACCCCCACCCCTCTGCACCCCAGCTGAGCGCCCCTCCAGGCTCCCGCTTGTTACCTGCTTTATAAATATTTCTTAAACTACCAAAGGATTTTAGTTTCCACATTTTGCGCTTGGCTGGTTTCCCGAAGCGAAGGAGATAGAGATAGAATGGAGAGCAGAACAGAGAGACCAAGAAAAGAGAGGCAGATATAGAGATGGAGAGAGTGACAGAGTGCCAGAGACAAAGCAGGACAGACAGATGGGGAGAGAAAGCAGAACTAAAGTCAGTGGCCCCAGAGCAGAGTGGAGCGGAAGCCAAGAGCCATGAGAGTAGGCAGATCTGGAACCCGGGTCTGAGCACCCGGCAGAAAGCAGGGGCAGTGGGGACAGTTATCATGATCAGAGAGGAGCCGGGTCTCTGAGGAGGAGGGAGGGTCAGGATCTGAGTGAACATGGGGGAAGGGAACAGAAGCTGGGACACAGGCTGGAATGAGAGGGCCCTGGGACCTAGGAATCACTGATGCCTGGGGTGGGTTACTGGGAGACAGGAATGGTATTGCTGTGGACAGGTTTTTTGAGGGAGCCTGGTGATCACTTAAAGTTATTGAAGCAGGGGTTGGGTGGCCAGAGTYCAGGAGTTGGGGAGTCAACAGGGACACTGAGATCAGGGGCTGAGTCATTAGGGTTGGGGGTACAGGGGATGGGGTCATAAGTAGAGATGAGGATAGGAACAGGCACTAGAGAGTCATTAGGAGAGGGAGCAGGAGCTTCAGACTTATGCATGTCATTGAGAACAGGGGCTGGAGATTACTGGGGGAAAGGCACTGGCTGAGGAACAGGGGAAGGATGGGCTGAGAAAAGTCCATCCATTATTTCACTCATTTATGTGCAGTCGTAACGACAGTCAAGCACTCAGCTCAGGCACTTTTCCTCCTGCTGCAGGAACTAGGCCAGGGATCTGCTGTTGGGGATGAGGGTCCAGCGTGGGAATGGAATGGCCAACCAGAGCCTCACCTTCAGCCTGCACAGCCGAGCCTTCGGTCTTGGATGGTGTTGTCAGTTTTTTTCTCCTCTGTTTCTTCACCATGGGAGAAGGAGGGGGTTCCCGACTCAGGGGGCTCAGGTCTCCAGATGGGGTACAGTCTTAGGGAGGGGGACACAGCTACCTCAGTTGCCCCTCCACAAATTTCCTGCTTTTTGGGGGGGTTACTGGAGATTGAACTTAGGACCTTGAGGATGCTTAGGTAGACACTCTACCCACTGAGCTCTAGCCCCTGCCCAGATTTCCTGATTTCTTTTCTTTTTTGGTACCAGGGATTGAACCCAGGGTCACTTAACCACTGAGCTACATCCCCAGACCTTTTTATTTTATTTTATTTTATTTTTTTAATTTTATGACAGGCTTTTGTTAGGTTGCTTACAGCCTTGCTAAGTTGCTGAGGCTGACTTAGAACCTACAATCCTCCTGCCTTAGCTTCCAGAGCTGCTGGGATTATAGGTATGTGCCACCACACCCTCTTCTTCCTCTTTTTAAATTTTATTATTATTATTATTTTTTTTTTTTTGGTGGTCCTGGGGATTGATCCCAGGGCCTCCCACATAACAGGCAAGTTACTCTTCCATTGAGCTTATTCCCACCCCTGATTTCTTGATAGCCTGTCTTCTCCTCTGAACCAGCTTTGGCATTTTGGGGTGTCCTTCCTCAACTGTCCCTCTCCAGGAGAAGCCCCCTAGATCATTCCTGGGGAGATGGACATGTTCAGAGTCAGATATGAACTGAGATCCTCACTCTGCCACTTATTGGCCTTGAGACCTTGAGTAAGTTACTTAATCTTGTAAGTCTTAATTTCTTCATCACTAAAATGTGGAGAGTAATCTTGACCTGATAAAGTTGTTGTGAGGATCATTTGTTACAATGTTTTATACATACGTATGTATGTATGTATTATTTTTTATTTTCAGACATTCTAAATGTTGATGCTGGACAATGTTCTCAGTTTGTTTAAGTCTCAAGCCCATGAGGTAGAAACTATTATCTCCATTTTAACAATGAGGAAATTTAGACATGGAGAGTTTGAATAATTTGCTCATGTGATAAGTCAGGATTTGGGTTCTGGTAGTTTGGCTCTAGAGCCCATGTGTCTTAACCATCATGATAGACACAGTATGGCTGTTTGGTGCTGGGCACCCAGCAGACACTCCATGTGTCCACTTGTGCATTTATTCCAAATCCAGGCCTCCAACCCCACTGCACTTCCCATCTACATCCTATTTGGCTCTGAAAGATAATGGATGAAGGGTGCTCCCACTGACCAGTGCTGAGGGCTCGGGCCAAATTCCGATCTGGTTTCAGCAGGTGCCTGGTGCTCTGGTCTGGTGGTGGCTGCAGGGAACTGGGGCTGGGGCTGGGGCTGGGCATGGGAGTTGTGGCTTCTGTTGTAAGGAAAAGAGGATAAAATGTCAGTGAACTTCTGTGTTCCTGTACCCTTCCTTATTTGGTCCCTCCTGATCACCTACTTTCCCACTTATCTAGGGTCAACCCCTACTCCCCTTTTATCCCTCTCTTTTATCCATCTCTGGATCCTCTCCTTCCCCCTTGTCATGAGCCCCACTCACCAGGGCCTTCACCCATCTGGACAGTGCTCATGTCCTTGACCAGCCCGTTGATGCTGGCTGAGGGACCAAAAGCAGATATGGCCCTTGGAGGCCGCTTGCCTGGGACTTTGACTGTTGTTCGTAGCAAGTCCATCTCCTTGCCATGGGTACTGTGGATATAATCCTGGAGGGGTACAGAAAGTTGAGAGTGTGGAGAAGGTTAGGTGGTTCTAGGAAGCAGTCGATAGTATGGGATGGAAAGGGGGCCCCAGGCACTGACTGGGCTGGAATGAACTTCTAAGAGAGGAGCCCATCAGACTTGTTCCAGAATTATTTCCTCCATAAAGCATTGTCTGAGTGGCAGACCAGGAATAGGCCCTTCCTAAGTGTTCTCTCTCTAGATTGCCAGCATAGGCAGACAGCAGGTTCTTAACATGCTTCCTAAACTTAAAAGAATAGAACTAGATCTCCCCAGAGATTATGTTAGTGCTTATCAGAAACAGACAGGTAGAGCTGGAAGGGTATCCAGGGCTGGCCAGGATGCCCAGTCTCTGCTACTCACATTAATGCTGGGGTGGTAGAGTAGGAAGCCATTACTGGACAGAGTCACATATTTCTTCTTCCATTCTTTGTTCAAGGAATTGCCACTTCGCTTTAGTAGGAAGCTCTGGAGTACAGAAAAAGGGGTGTGAAAGAAAAGCCAGCTAACACCAACTAACTCCCTGCCTTCCCCCCCAATCCCTGGACTACTCACTTGTTTGATAGGGATGGCTCGCCCACTTCCGGTTGTCTCTCCCCGACTGTCCAAGCTCCTCTTTTCAGAGTCACTACCCCGACGATTCTGGAATGATTATTGGAATCAGAGGATTGATAGAGAGATACACTGATGGAAGGACAGGGAAGACAAATAAAGAAGGGCCCAACAGAGGGGTCTAAGGATGAGGAAAGATGTGCAAGTAACAGAGGACAGGAGAAAAAGGAGTCAGTATGTCCAATACCGCAAAAAGACTGGTCCTGCGCTTGGCTGCCCGGTGCAAGGACCCTGGAGTGCTCAATCCAGCCACTGCAGCTGCCTCAGCTCGAAGCTCCCGGTGACCAACATTGGGTGAGGATGGTAGAGAGGAAGAGTAGTCGCTAGTGTGGCCTCCATTACTAGCCTGAGGACATATGGAGGGGTCAGCAGAGCTGAGCTATTTCCTCCCCAGACAAGCTACTCTTACATCCGATTCTGGGGAACTGGAGACATTAGTTGATCTTCTCACTCTTCATTTACATTATAATTAATAATAAAAATATATACTAGCATTGTTACTGTGCTTTAAGTTTTGCAAAGGTTGACTTCACAAGTATCATGCCATACAATTTTCTAGATAATCTTGGGAAGTGAGGCGACTTGCTCAAGGACAAATGGTGACTCAAACTTGGTTGATTTCCTCAAATGCTTTCTACACTTAGTATCACCACCATTCCCTCTTTTTTCTCCTGCTCCCCAAACCTCTTTGGTATTCTGTGTCTATCTTCAGATCCCAGCCCCTTTTCTGTTGTCCCTCAAACCCCAACTCACCTGCCCAGCTACAGGGGTGGAAGCAGCTGAGTGACTTGGGGAGCTGGGCAGGGACTTGCAGGCAGCCAGAAGCTGTTGCTGTTTGCGCAAGGTCACCACCTTCTGGGCCACTTGAAGGAACGGGTGAGGGAGAGGAATGAGCACAGCAGATACACAAGACCATCCTTCCATGTCCAGCTTCGAGAAATCCCCAGCAGATAATATAGGCTCCAACTTCCCTGTCACTGTGGCCTATGCCCCCTGTAGCCTTGCCAGTTCCTGAGCCCAGAAAGATCTTGTGCTATAAAGCAAACCTTCTCTGGTCTCCCTGGTCTCTCTCCCTTCCACAGAAGCTAATTTCCTGTCATTGGCTGACAAAGAGGCCTGGATTCCAGTCCTCTAGAATATCCCAGGCTCTCAGTTCCCTGCTTCCTGCATGCACTGGGGATAGCCACACTCACCCTCCTGGAAGACCCGATCCACATTGAGCCCATAGGTTGCACAAGTCTCATAGTAGCTGCAGCGTTTCATTTCTGCACACAGAGCCCTGGCACGAGCATCACCAACCACCCGAGGAGAGGAAGCACTGATCCTGTCTGAGGGAATAGGAAAGGGGCAGGATATGATGAGGGGCCCCTTCCCCCCACTATTCATGATTCTCTTTATCTATGCTCCAGGCTTATGCTGAACCCACTGAAGGCAGAGTATCAAAGAGCATCTGTCCTTGCTCAAATAGAATGGCAGTATGTAAATTCTGAGTGTAGGGCCCAGGTCACATGCGCAGCTGCAAGTAAGAAGGCAAGGCATAAGCAGTTCAAAAAATACTCCAGAGGAGAGTGGAGCTATTCTGACAGGGTAGCTTCCTGACCCCATCTGAAGTGGCTGAAACTCGTGAGTGATAATCACCCTGCCCTGGAAATCTATGGAACCATGATCCGAGAGATCACATGGCAGTGCAGATGAGGAAAAGGTTGTATGCCCATCAGTAACAGGTGCACTGCTCATTCTATAGTGAGAAACCAAGAGGAAAGCAACAGGTGGAGGCTGGCACCTGCAGCACAGGCATCCAGACAGAGAGCCTGCCAGGTAGATACAGGTGGATACCGGCAAAGCTTTTCCTGTCCCAGTGAAGTTTGAGAGCCTGAGTCACTACTTTGAGAACTAAAAGGTTTTCTGCCCTTCTGTTTTCTCCAGGTGCTTTCTCTTTGTTTTCAGATAAGTTCCTTCAAAAGGTGCCAGCCTGACCCATCTGTAGCAAGGAGGAAATGGAAAAGGCTTTGTATCTATCCTACTTGAGATCCTCTATGTGCTTTGGTGGTGGCATTGGGAAATGGCAGTGTGAGAACACAAGGTAGGTGACATCTCAGGAAAGGAACAGAGATGGCCATTATGGCTGCCTTTTCCACCCTGGCAGTCCCCTTTTCTCTGCTCAGATGTTGGAAAGTTTGTGATGCTTTCATGATTTCCTTATTGGAAGATCAGGCTCCCTCCAGAGGTTTACTGAAATTCAAGTAGCCATTTCTACACCTTACTGAACTCTCAACTGCACTGGGCAATATCCTAGGGGCATCCCAAGGCCTCCCCTGAAAGCACTATCTCTTCAACCCCTCCTTACCTTGTGTCCCCACCAGTGCCAGGGCCAGGCCTCCTCGTCCCTCCCCCCGAAGGGAGCTCAGCTGCCCGTGAAGACGGCTCACAGCTTGGAAACTGTTCTCATCCTCCAGGCTGAAGACGAAGATCACGGCATCTGCCCAGCCTGAGAACTTGCGGGGGTGAAGTGGCAAATGGAGGGTCATACAGGTTCACTACCTCTCTGGACTACCCAGAGGGAGACCTAGGAAGCCAGAGTCTTCTCCCATATTCAATGCTGTCCTCAATCAGTCTACCCTCTCCACTGCTTCTGCCCCTCACCTTGGCATCAGGTGCCCCAGCTTCCTCTCGAATCAGCACCAGATGAGTCTGTCCATCCACCAACATCTCTTTCTTGTACTGCTCACCTGTCCAGAAGAGTTGAAAGGCTTAACAGATCAGAGGTAGCCAGGTCATCAAACTTTTCTAGTTCCTTGTACTTTAGCTACTATGGCTTCACCATTCCCATGGTCTTCATAACTACCCAGACATTGATTTTACTCCTGAATCCACCACCCCAATCCTTAGCTTACTCTTGCTCCTGAGAACTCACTCTCAGTCTTCTCCAGCACCTGGTAAGAACCAGTSAGGAATCGGTGGATGAGCGATGACTTTCCACTCCTGGCATCACCCAGTACACCCTGAAAGCAAGGTTGTGAGGCAGAGACAATGGGAATTATGAGGGGGGAAATGCTTGGGTCTACACACGCCAGAGACTCCCAAGGGGCTGGCAGTGTTAAATCACCCAAGTAGGTCCTAGAGGTTCTGCACAACTGTCAGTTAAGAGAGAGCAGTTGTGATAAGTATRGCTTAAGTAGGGTAAGAAATAAACTCAAGCTTGAAGTGAATCACTGAAGAACATAAGCAGCACAGTGCCAGTTCTTTTGTGTTGTTTAGGAAACATTAGACCTGTGTGTGCATGGCATGTCACAGGCCTAGACACTAGTTGGAAAGTAGTATCCAATTCTAGGCAATGGTACATGAATGGTACAAAGGGCAGATGTCAGAAATGAGAACCCTGGAAGAGGGTCCTGGACAAACAGGGAAACAAGAGCATAAAGAATGAAGAAAAAGTTGTGAGGGTGTATCAAGCCCCATAATAGTGCAATGAAGGTAGACTCTCAGGAGAGTTGGAAAACCACTCCAGGTCCTATGAGGCGGGCCAAGGGCCTGGGTTACCTACCAGGCGCAGTTCAGGAATGGAGCGGCTCAAAGTCCATTCCTGGCTATTGACCACTGCCTCTGTAAGGAAAGAGGGGCAGTAAGAGGGGAGGCTGCTGCCCAGGAGGACTCCCAACCCTCATCAACCCCTCCTCTCTTTGAGTGTCCCTTAATATCCAGGACCCTGCCTGCCTGCTCTGGAGAGGTTTGTGCAACAGATAGGTCTGAGAGTGGTCCCCAGTCCTCCCATCCTAACCGCTCTCCCCACAGCTGTTGCCACCGCTCAGTGGTTGCTTAGCAACAGAGCTAGCAAGACAAAAATACTTCAGTTGGCATCTCCCTTAAAGCACATCCCTAAACGGTGGGTCCCTGCCCCAGACCGGGAGACAAGGCTCTCACAGTGGCAACTTCTTCCCTCTGGAAGAAAATGGAAGGGCTCCTCCCTGACGGAAAGATTCCCAGGACCGATCCTGGGAGGAGGTTCTGGCACTTAGAAGGGAGTGAGTCTTCCTCAATCTCCATTTCACACAGAGAAACTGAGGTGAGGGCTTTCCCTCCCCCTTTTCAAGGTCAACCGCACAGTGGCTCTGACCCCCCCCCACACACACACACACACACTCCAAGGGATAGAGCTTGGATTTTCCTATACCTCCCTCTCCCATGGCTTCCCCCGAAACACCCTCTAAAAGAACTATGGGGAAAGGATCCATCCCCTGCCCTAGAGAAACCACAGACCTAGGGTGGGGTGGGGGAAGGATGCTCCTTCCGCCCCGCCGGGTCCAGCCCCCGCGCCTGACACTGGCCGGACGTTCCCGGGGCGCCACAGCTGCCGCGGGAACTCTGGGATCTGGAGCCATCTGCTCCCACCCGCTCCGGAGCCAAACCCCAGGGGCCGCCCCCGCTTCCAGACCCGCCTCCCCTCAGGGGAGTGTGAGCTTGTGAGCCGAACTCAGTCCCCTGCCTGTCTACCCCAGTTAAAAATAATAATAATAAAGACACCCCTGGGTGGCACTACCTTCCCCTGTACGGCCTCCCAATTCTCCTGGTGTAAGAATTGCCTTTGCAACAGTTCCGCCCCCCACCCCACTCACTCCGGGGTCAGCCCCGGGCGGGTATCGACGCTGCTGTGGAGCGGGGGTGGGCAGTGGGGGAAGTGAGGCTTCCTATCCGCGTTCTCTCACTTCACGTTTGAATATTCAGCACGTTCCAGCCCCCGCGCACTTGTGGACCGCCCAGTCAGCCTTTCCTGTGTGGAAAACACCACTAGCCTGCTCTCAACCTAGAAGACCTGTTCCTGGCGAGGAGCTGTCTGCAAGGTCACTATCATGCCACCTGCCCTAAGTGCTCAGGGAAAACTGAGGTTTTCTCATCCCCTTCACCTTCAGTGCCCCTCTAGACAAGGCAAAGCACGTTTCTGCGCTCCCAGAATCCAGCGGAGGATGAAAATGGGATCTGGGACTTCTCTGGTAGCAATTTCCTAAAGTCACTCTGACCAAGGGCATTCCCCCCCCCACCACCACCAAAAAAAAAAAAAAAAAAAAAAAAAAAAAAAAAAAAGCTTTGAGGCTTTCTGAATCCCCCTCCAAAATCAAGTCATCACTCACGGTGCACAGTGTAACTGCTCCTCCAGCGTCAGGGACCTCTTATTTGCCTCAGTCCTTAGCAGAGGAGTGAGCCTGGTTCCCCGTCCACCCAAGGGAAAAGCTTTCCTAGTTTTCTGCTCCTCCACCCCCAATTGAGCATTCCAGGTACCCTCCCCTCCTTGTTCTCAGGCCCTGATCCTACTCACTAGGGGAGGCGCGGAGATCAGCACCCAGCAGCTCCCGGGACCCGCTGCCAGAAGACAGGCCCACGGGACCTGGAAGGGGCCCTGAGCCAGGAGGCCCCCCTGTACTCTTGGTGAAGATACCGCTGATAAACTTGAGCATCTTGCGGTCGCGAGTGGATGCTCGGCCCCCCTCCCGGCCCCGTTTCAGCCCTGGAGCTGGAGGCTCCAGAGTGATTGGAGGTGCTGGCCCGGGGGGCTGCGCGGAGGTGGCGGTAACGGCAGCGCCAGAAGCCGGGATTGCTGGGATGGTTAGAGGAGGAGGAGAGCCGGCAGGCGGTCCTGGGTGCAAGTCACTGTTGTCCAAGGTCTTACTCTTGCCTTTTCGAGGAGACAGCTTCCCTCGGACTCCAGCCCCAACCACGACCCCACCAGAGGTCGAGGCTGCAGCGCCCCCTCCCCCGCCGGTGGCAGCAGCGGCCGCGGCTGAAGCTCCAGTCCCGGCGCTGCTCTTTGGCCCCTTGACCCTGGGCTTGCCTTCGCTTTCGGGCCATGACAGGCGGCTACCGGCGCCCTTGCCCCCGCCGGCTTTGGCTCCACTCGTGGTCACGGTCTTGCAAGGCTTGGGAGCCGGCGGAGGAGGCGCCACCTTGAGCCTCCGGCTGCCTGTGCCAGGATGAGGGGAGGACGAACCGGGGACGCCGCCGACTGGCCGACCTTCGGGTTCGGGGCCCCCCCAGCTCGGGCTGCTGAGTAGAGGGCGTCGGGAGGAGGTGGGGGCGCCCCCGGGTTTGGGGTCGGGGCTCAGTCCCCCGGAGAGCTGGGGTCCAGGAGGGGCCGCCCAGAGGGAGAGTCGGCGGCCCGGAGCGGGGGAGACCGGGCGAGCCGGACTGGCCGGAGCCGGGGACAGAGCTGGGGGCTCCGCACCCCCCGCTCCCGCGCTGCTAGTACTGATCCACAGCGCATCCTGTCGGTGGAAAAGACGCTCGTGCCGCTTCTTGCCCGGCTCCTCCGCGCCTCGGGGGCTGCCAGGATCCCCGGTTTCGGAGCCTCTAGCCCCAGGGGCGCCAGCCGCGATAGCAGACGGAGAAGGCGGCGGCGGAGGAACCGACTCGAGCTTGACCAGGGTCAGCGAGATGAGGTAGGTCGTTGTCCGGCGCTGAAGCGCGCCCGCGCCCCGGCTCATGGGGCCCGGAGACCCCCGAGCTGGGGAGGGGAGGGGACTCCCCCGGACTGCCTCAGGGGGGCCCGGCCATGGGGCCGCCCTGCTCGCTGCCCCCAGCCCCCGGACCCCGCTGAGCCCACAGTCCGGCTCCGCTGTCGCCGCCGCCTCCGCCGCCTCCGCTTGCGCCCCCCTCCCATCACATGGGGCTCCCCCTCCCCATGCTCCCCACCCTGCGCCCCCACCCCCTTAGAGCCCCGGGACCTTGGTGATGCTCCGGGGAGGCGCGCCGGGCCGTGCACCCCGGCCTGGGTGGGGGCGCTGAGATGGGCGGAGGAGGGCGGGGAGGACAGTAGTGGGGGCAAATGAGGGAGAGGGAGGAAAAGGGGGCAGAAAAGGGGACCGAAGGCTAGGAGAGAAGAGCCAATGCGGGGGAGGCAAGGGAATGGAATGGGGACTGAAGGGCCAGGGGCCAGGGATGCGGTGTGAGAGGGGGTCTTGAGGAGGGTGGAAAGCTAGTGGGGCTTGCGGTGCGGGGGATTCGCAGGGGCGCGGGGAGGATGCTGGGGATGGAGATGTAGGAGGCGGCGGGGGTGGAAGGAGGGAACAGGAGGGGGTGGGAACCCACGGATCTGGGGTCTGGGAGGGAAGGGGCGTGAGATCCTGGTGAAGAGTCCAGGGGCCTTGCCCGGGCTCGGCTGGGTCCGGATGCGCGCTGTGTCTGGGCGCTCCCCTCACATTGAGGAGGAGGCGGCCCCCGGCCCCCCCTACCCCTTCCCCCCCACCACCTCTCTAGCAGCGCCGCTGTCTGCGAGGGCGGTGCAAAATCCAGGACTGGATTTCCCTCCCAAATCCTGGGCTGGATTTCCTGGGACTTGGACTCATATCCAACAATCTAGCCCCCTCCTCTCGAACACCGAGGCTGGTGAGCAAGACTGTGGGGTGTGGCACTTAGGGACAGGGGTAAATATAGACTTATTGAATGGGCAGACGCCAGGAACATAGCAAACTTGGGGTCGCTACGAATTCTGGGGAAGCTGAAGTGGGAAAGTGGGGGAACCCTGAAATCCCTTTCCCGGACCCTCCCAGGGGACCTAGATGCTTTCCTTTCTCATCACCCAGCTCCCTCTCCACCTATACCCCTACATTTAATTCTTTGACGGGTTCCAACTTGATTTGATGGCCCCAAAGTGAACTTGGAAAGTGTTCCCTAGGGATGGGGACAAACATGGGACTTAGCAGGATAAGAAAAGGTGTGTGTGTGCGTGTGTGTGTGTGTGTGTGTGTGTGTGTGTGTGTGAGTAGTGGAGAGATCTGAGGGCTCAGGAGCCTAAGCTGCCCAGTGAGTCAAAGGCTCCAGCTCAAGGTGAAACAAGAAGAAATACATGTAGAACTGACAGCCCCCCTAATACCAAAATGCATCCAGTCTCCATAGCAACCGCAGCTCCAAGAGTGCCTCAGAAACGTGGGGATGAGAGGGAGAGGAGGGATCAGTGTGTAGAGTAGGTGGGGACCTGACAGGGGATGCTGGGTTAGTGAAGGTACTACCCTCACCCCTGGTTACCCACCTGTGGGGGATTTTGCTCCTAGAATATAAAGACCCCTTAGTTGAAGCAGCAAGAGCCAGCCTCTTCTGGGTTTCCATTCAGTCTCCTGAGGTTTATGGGGCAGGGCTTTCAGAAGGTTAAAGAGGAAGTAGGCAGAACAAACTGGACATCATTTACTGTGTCCCCCACCCTTCTAGAAGCCTTGGAGTTCAAAGTTTTCTGTCCTCTAGCCCCAGAGAGAAGCATGAGCAATTAGGCCTATGGGGAAGACAGGCTGAGACCCCAGGAGTGGGCTGGGAAGGAGGAGGTCTCCCTGCAGCCTTTTGGAGACCCCTCCTAAGGATTTGGAGAGTCTAAGCGGTCCCTTAATTTGGCATCCCACCCTCCTGACGCAGAGACTATATTAAGTGCTGCCGTGGGCGGCTCTTGGAGGCAGGAGCCCAAGGCACACTCGGTCTGGGGGGGCTGAACCAGGATGCCAGGAGCCCTTTGCTCTTCAAGAGGCCTGTATCCAGTCCCTCCCAGGTCCTGTCCTGGAGGTCAACAGCTTCTTCCCCACACCCTGTAGAACCATGACACCACCATCCCCATTTCAGGAGACCCTTCACTGGTCTTTTTTGAAGGAGAAGGTGAAGAACAATTATTGGCTCTGCCTTTACCTTCCTTCTTTTGATGGCCTCAGTTTTCCTTGAGGATTCAATAGTAACAGACTTCTGACTTGGGGAAAGAGTAGAACAAATCACTTATATAGAATACAGCCTTGAGCTAGGGGTCTCAGTGGTAGAGCAGTTGCCTGCTTGAGGCCCTTGGTTCTATCACCAGTAAACACACACACACACACACACACACACACACACACACACACACACACATGGAGTCTCATCAGCCTCTACCTTCCTTTCTCTCTCCTTTTCCAGAGCTAAAGGGAGCTTCTTTTTTAATTTTTTTAATATTTATTTTTTAGTTATCGGCAGACACAACATCTTTGTTTGTATGTGGTGCTAAGGATCGAACCCGGGCAGCATGCATGCCAGGCGAGCGCGCTACCACTTSAGCCACATCCCCAGCCCCATAAAGGGAGCTTCTTTATCTGGCCTACACCTCTCTCCTCCTTTGTTTTTTTTTTTTAAGATATTTTCATTGTATGCTTTCCATGGACACTCCCCACCCCAAGTGCTGGGGATCAAACCCAGAGCCTTGTGTATGCAAGGCAAGCATTTGACCACTGAACTATAACATCAGAGCCCCCCTTTTAAAGTCAGGGGACCTTAAGAGTTCTTTCCTAGGAGGCCCCATGTGCCACTCCCCTGAGGTCTACCTTTCCTAATGCAAAGGCTGTCAGGGAAAAAGTCAGGTGTAGTTACTATCAAAGGGTGGGGACAGAAGCTGAGAGGAGCACTAGCCTCAGAAGGACAATGGAAAGAGGGAGACATGGGAAGGGAATCATACTGTCCTACTAGGAACCCAAACCAACCATTCCTTCCCCCATGCTCTGGTGGCCCATCAGAGGATGTGGCAGAAGCTATCCATGGTGGAAAGAATGGTCTCTTGAGTCCCTAAGTAGCATCTAGGAATGGAGAGGACTGGCTAGGTGTGGTGGTGCAAGCCTGCAACCACAGGGACTCAGGAGACTGAGGCAGGAGGATCAAAAGTTAAAGGGCAAGCCTGAGCAAGTTAAGGAGGCTCTAAGCAACTTAGCCAAACCCTGTGTCAAAATGAAAAAGGACTGGGGATGTAGTTCAGTGGTAGAATGTTTGCCTAACATGTGAGAGACCCTGGGTTCAATCTCCCCATTACTGAGGGTGGGGGCGGGAAAAGGAGGAGGAGGAGAAGAAGAGGAAGAAAAAAAAGAATGGAGGGCTGGGAGTATAGCTCAGTTGGCAGAGTGCTTGCCTTTCATGCACAAGGGCTTGAGATCAGCACCAAAAAAAAAAAAAAAAAAAAAAAAAGGAGAAAGACTGAAGTGATTGGAAAAGATCAGGATATGATGGAGGATGTGCTTCTACCAGATACCCTTCATGAGCTAGGAAGTTTCCCTTTGTGAGTTTTTTGCTACATCAGAGGTGAATGAGATGAGAACAAGCTGAAAGTGACATCCAGTTCTACCAGTTCCTTAGTGGTGAGGCCTTATGGATGGAGAGATTCTGTTCCTGCCAGGGCCCCACCACAGGATTGAAGGCTGGGGTGGGCAGGAGGATGTGGCGGATGGTGTTGCCATGGCAGCACTTCCTCCCTGTGTTGTCATCACTTGCTCTAATGGCACTAAGGAGGTAGAGCGGAAGGTATGTGGGGGGAAGACAGGAACAGGAACATGAGGAGGAGAGGGGACCAAGGAGAGTCATAGGGACCCTCTCTTCACTTTAGCTATGCTGAGCATGGTCTTTAAGTGTGCCTGGAAGCCAGAGTGTGTGTATGTGTGTCTGTCTGTGTGTCTACAGCTGGAAAACAAGAGGTCATTTATCCTTAGTGGGTCCTGGGAATGAACACAATATCCAGTCCCAGAACCTCTTGCCCCGACTGCTTCCTGTTCTATACTCCCTAAGCAGGGAATACGTCTACCATGGGTCTGTCACAGCCGGTCTTCCCCATGCTTCCCCATGCTTCTCCACTGCCAAGAAGGTCAGGTCAACAGTGACCTGTATTTTGTTCTCTTGGGAGAAGGATTAGAGTTGTGGAAAAGGAAGGATGATAACCTCCTGTGTCTTTTTCAATCCTCCCCAAATGTATTCTTCCCTAGAGTCCTAGCTGTGTCCTGGGGACTAGGAAGTAGCTGATTGAGAAATGATACATGATACTGTTAGCACTTCTATGCCCTTGCTGGTTCCCGATACATCCAAGTTGGGAGACTGATACTTCTCTTACCTCGTATGTTGTTCAGTGAGGCCTGGATGCTGTCCCGAAGATCAGGGTCACCCACTCTTTCTGCCAGCTTCCTGAGGTGGCTTAGAGCCTGCTTGGCCACCTCATGTCGTCTGACTTCTGCTCTCACTGTGGCTATAGCCAACTGCCTCTGGGCATGCATGTTGCCCAGACCTGTCTTGCCAGACTAACAGTAACCTCCGGCCCTGAAGCCCATGATTCTGTAGTCCCCAAACCTTAGAAGGCCCCTTTTGCTGTGCCCCAGAACTCCCCGCCCCTGCTTGCCCTTCCGTCTGTCGGCCTCACTTCCTGACTGGTGAGTTTCAAACCCACAGCCTGGGACAGCACTACCTCCTGCACCTCCCACTCCCTCTAGCGTTGGCTCATCAGCCCTGCCAGCCAGCCCCTGGTATGATTTCCCAGTCAGGTAGAGGGAGAACCTTAGCAAGTGTCCCAGAGCCTCCTGTGGGAGGTGGCTAATTAAGATGGGTGTCAGTTGTGGGAAAATGTGGCCAGCCAGTCTCGGGTACAAATCCAAAGTTGGGGATCTGCAAACTTGTGTTGTCTCAAACTCACACAGAAATACATATACAAGTAGTCTATTACTCATAGCCCTGAATTCTAGTGTACAGTTATACTTACTACTCTCCACACCCTTTAATGATCCCTGAAGACTAATATCTTAATTAGTAATGTAACCCTTTAGTTATGGGGAGAATGAGTTATAAAGAATGAAAGTAACCAATAAACAG